TGTATCTCTAAAACAAGGCCGTTCCAGATGAAGGCAAACACCTACTATTTTAAAGAGATCTATCTGCCCTCGAAGTTTCCTGCATAAAATTCGGACCACCCTGAACATTTTGAAAACAATAACTTTCGCAACATCAATATTGAATTGTATTTCTTATAGAAGAACAATAGTAGCTCTTAATTTCAAAATATCACAAAAATTACTTGACAAAGAAACTTTTGTCGTTGGCATGGCTAAAATTTTGCGACACCTCGTAGCATGTTTATTATTATTATTTTTTTTTTTTTCAGGTGGAACATATAGAAGGCTAAACTAGGTGCATGAGATATAAAAAGTTAAGTAAACTGTGGACTGTATGATCTAATGGTGATAACAAATTTGGCATTACCCACAAAGGGGTGTTAATTTTTAAATAAAAAATTGTCGACGTCGTACCAAGCAAATAGTAGGCACGAGCAAAAAATGAGGAACCGTGTCATGAATTCTTATATGCTGTACTGTAAATAAGGAAGCAGTTATGAATTAATTTATTGTCTGTAATGATTTATTTTTTTGTTATTCTGTGTTTCCGTCATCTCGAAAATACAAGTTTTGAAACAAATAGCCTCTCGAGCCAAATGATATCAGCCAAAGGCTGGTAAATTTTAATTTTGCTTTTCAGACGTAACTTACATTGAGAAAGTAAATAAATTTTCTCGACTAATTTTAGGGGGTATTTATTTAAAAAACCTAATTACATAAAGAAAATGAATTGCTTTTTTAATGTTTTATCTTTACCTTTACATTCACAGGGTGATATAATAATAATACTTCATTTAGTTCATAGATAACATGATTAATTTGATTAATAATCGTTTTTATATAAAAAAATTATTTTATATTCTGACACTTTTAGAAATAATTACCTACACATGGCCTAATATTTTCAATATTTTATCATTTATCTCGGAAACTGTGCATTTCTTATAAACACCAACAAAGAAACAATTTTGCCTTATCATATTGAGTCAAATTTTAAATAGCTTCGTTGAAAAAAAAAATGGTATAGTCTTTCCGAAGTCAGTTGAACATGTATAAAAACGCCTAGCGATAAAATTTAATGAATTTATAGGCGTCCCTAAAAAAGTTTTCGCTTAAAAGTAAAAAAATTATAATAATTTGTATATAATGTGTAGACAATTTCTATCATATGTTTATTTAACCAACAACATATTTTAATTATTATTTATGTCAAACAATTTTATTATATTGATGGTAAATTTCGTTTTGATCCGTTTCAAAATGCCGTGTTGTAATAATATTAGTAAACAAAATATTCCTCTTATTTCTCCCTTTCGCAATTGTAATATGAATGAGTAATAGAAGGTGCCTATAATAAATTAAAATTACCTGAATCACACCAAATTTCGCATTACTGCACTGCACTGCTAGGCCATTTGTTGACAATCGAATTTATGGCCAAGTGGCCCAGTGCGGCTGTGTTTGTGCCGCGTTTGCCCGCGCGCTCGTTCTTCAACTGGGCGACCAGACCTGTATATGGGTATGGCTAAATAAGTATGGGAACAAGTTTTTCAAATATTTCAATGCTGAGTTGCTGCGTCGGCAACCTAACCTGGTACATACTGCCAACCTCTTGGTTCTTCAATTGATATCAGAAAGATTATAGCAAAAATTATTACGTCCACCCTTGGAATTACAGTACAGTATGTAACAAGTCCTAATCATAAAACTATAGGTACTTTCTCGTAACTTTGAAAGAAATACGGTTTTAGTTTTTTAAATTTTAATATAGCGTATCTATAATACATATGTTTGCATAAACTTTTTTTCATTGGTTTGTGACATAGAATACGCCTTTAAAGTCTGGATAAGTTTCTATACACCCTGTATATTTGGTTATTTTGCACAATACCTATTTAACCACTTTGTCTATAACAAATAGATATATTTCAGGTACAAGCAGGTACATAACAAAAATAAATGCAGTTGAACAATCACCAGCAATTATGTAATTCATATTATGAAATGAAAAAACAAAATGGCTGGCCTTCTAATAACACATACATATTAATTACATTTTGACAATTTATTTCCACAGAAGTTCTCATAAAATTCTTAGATACCACAATGAATAAATTAAAAATAAATAATTAAATGTATTATTTTTATTGTTTAATATATAACCACTGTTTCCAAAATAGTAACGTATACTTATGCACTATTTAATTTTGTTTATATTGTTAACAAAGTGAATAAACTGTACAAATATATAATTTATGAATAGTTTATAGCAGTTGCACAGGTCCGGGATTAGATGTTAGATACTTAAATTGTTAATTTACGACAATTATTATAGAGATAAGGCGAAGTAGTTACAAATTAATTGTTGTGGTATCTGAACGATAAAAAAAATTAAAAGAATACGCGTGACGTATGGCGTACTTCTTTCTTTCTTTTTAATTAATTTTGCAATGTAACCTTAGTTCTTCAAACGCTATTATTACGTGTTATATTTTCGTAAAGAATGTGTTCGAAATTAATAACATTCCCATCTAACTGTAAGAACATTTAAAAAATACCGCCAATGAAGAAATGGACCTGTCCGTGTAAGCCACTAGAAAAGTAAGGTAAGAAGAAGTGGGGATATATCCACAAAACCCACCCAATAGAAAAAAGAAGAGAAATATTCGTAATTTGTGGAAGATATGCCAGCGGACAAAAACAAGTTTTTTAGCACCGCTGAATTACAGTAACAAAACCACGTTCATCCGTGAATTAGTGGTGGTTCCATTGGAAATTTTGTGTTAAAAGTATATTTAAGTAAGTACCTTTCAATTAGCAACAAATGCTTTTGTATTTTTTAATAATTAGGTAGTTGGAGTCTGTCGCGATGGAGATAATTTCTTAAGATAAGTTCTGGAAAACAATTTTTTAGTGTTTTTTTAATTATTTCACAAAAAAATTTCTTGCAAAACATTTTTTGTGTTGTCCTTGATATTATTTATACCGAAAATCTACATATTATACAAATAGATACATTTTGCTACTGCTGAAATTATGCAAAATATGGCGGATGACCTACTAAACTTTAGTTTGGGACATACAAGCGCTGTTTTTCTTTTTTGGCATTTAGCCACATACATTAAGAATAAGATTAAGAAAATTCAGCCCCACAAGAAACAGCCATGGGTTGTTTTTTTATTAAATTAACTATTTTTGCTTACACTTTCAAATTTCACAGTATTCTCACATTATTACAAAAACATTGTTCCTTATAGAATACTATTGATAAGATTTCAAAGCATTTTCTGTCTTCATTCACAAATAGTTATTTTTGATGCTAGATTGCGAAATGCTACTTTTGCATTCGAGAACGAAAGTTTTTTTTGCGAGCGATAGGAAGCAAAAAAATAATAAAAATAAAATAATTTCGCAATCGATTACCAAAAATATTTATTCGAAAACTGCATCCCACAGTTCAAAAATGTGAAGAAAAATTTTTGATATTCAAAATTAATATTTATTTGACATGTGCATAATGCCATCATCAATTTAGGTACTGCACATATTTTAATATCAAATATTCTTTTTTTTAAATATCTGGAAAACCACTTCATCAAATTTATCCAAATTTGGTACACTTTTTTTTTCAAATATTTCTCCTAGTTCTGTATGCACACAGTCTAAATTCAAAAACCAGTGGCGGAGAAACAAGGATATCATTTCCTTATTTGAAGTAAAACTTCTACGCCACTGAATTAATTGGTAATATGAATACATTTTATAAGGGCCTGAAACATTCCAGATGAAAAAACAGTCTTTTATTTTTGTCGAAAAGTAAATGGTTTACGAGTTATGAAAAATATTATCTAAGTAAACAAAACGTTGAAATAAGGAAAAATAAAACGAATTTGGGTGATCCAGATTTTAATAGACAAACTTAGGCAAAGTACTAAACAACAAAAATTAATATCATCTTGCTCTATCAACATAGGCGCAGAAAGCCACCGTTTATGAGATACAGGGCATTGAAAAGATCAAAAATAAAACAATTTTTTTAAATAACTGGAAAACCACTTCATCAAATTTATCCAAATTTGGTACACATTTTTATTTAATAATTCTACTGGTTCTGTATTCATACATTCCAAATTCAAAAACCAGTGGCGCAGAAACAAGGATATTGATAATTGAATGAAGTAAAACTAGCAAATATGTATTATAATTTAACTAAAAGATAAGAACTCGATAACAAATAAAAATTGGAAAACAAGTCCTCTCATTAGAAATATAAAGATGACTTCCAGTCCTTTTAGTAATATTAGCAATTATATCAAAAATTAAATTTGTTATTTTTGTTTAAACTGTTAATATAAACTAAAATCGAATATGAAAGTAAGATGATTAAATATACTTTAATTTTCTTAAAATAATAATATTTTTATTTGCAATGCTCGGTTTTAAAAATAAATATTGTTATAACAAATTCTACATTAGGATTCTTAAATACATTATTTTGAATTTTTTACTTATATCAGAAATCCGAAATTTTGTCAGCATCTTACAATCATTTTCAAAAAAATCCTCATTTCTCGATATTACCTGTACTATTATCACAGCAACAAACTCTTTAATACATAACAAAATTATTGATAAAAATACTGATAACAACGTTACAGGAAAACATTTACAGTTAATACGCAGTCCGGTTTACAGTGTAAATTTTCGTGAAATACATTTTCTGTGCACTGCAATTATAAATTCTTAGTCGATAAAATACTTCATAAAAACCATTACTTAGTATAGATGCAATGAATGATGTAACGATTACCAATTATAGCCGATACACTACCTTGAGTGTTGAATGACATTTTTCCTAATACGATATTTCAAATTTCACAGCGACACATTGCAATAGGTACTATCAACATAACTGCACTCTTATTAATTGAACGTTGAAAATATGTGTTAAGTTTCTATAAATCTTTCAGTTCTTTCAATTTTTCGGCGGGTCGACTATTAAAAAACTAACTTTAGTGTAACGGAATTCAAGGTAAGATCAGATCATATTGGAAAATATTAATTTATTATTACTGCAATTAAATACAAATTGTTTGATTACTGATTGTTGTTTTGGTAGAAGATGTAATTAGTCTTCTGTCCAATACTTAGGTGGGACTACGTGTATATTTTAATCCCGAAGTGAAGTAAACGGATTGTGAGGCAAATTTTGTCCCTATAGGAATAATACAGTCTTGTAAGTGTTTATTAGTATCATTCTTCTGTTTTTCTAAACATGTTCACAAGTATGGGAATGAGGTATTTCCTCACTTGACATACATACTATCTCAAAACACTTTATCTGTCTAAGCAAAAAGGGGTAAATAGACCGCCTTTTTCATAAATAACGCGGATTGAAGCCTCTTCACTTGAAGGCCAAAATCGGAGAATTCCTATCAGATTTTCCATTTATCTAATAAGTGTCTTGTAGATTGATAGTAGATTGACAGCGTTAATAATCAGTCGTTGAATCGTAAAACTGTATGATAAGTTTTCGCTTACGGTTCCTCGTGTGCTGCTCACAGACTTTTGAGAATTCAATTTGAACCAAAGTGAAGTTTCATGTTGCTTACTTATCTAAAGGTGTCGTTGAAAAAATCTTATTAAAAAAGCGTATTACAAATTTGGAACGTTTCAGGTATGTCTGGAAACTTGGATAATGCAGATTCGGTGACAGAAAATAAAAAATCTCGCAAATTTGGAATGATGGAAGGTCTTCATGGACATGATAATCTCATTTTCGATACTTCCAAAACTAGGAAAGTATCCACGGCATCTACCCATATCGAAGTTGGACCAGTCCGTAAAAAAAGTGTGATGCACAAAGATCTTGAAAATGCAGCATCTATTGCCAATGGAGGTAATAACAAGTTTTTTTTTTTGTTTTAGACTTTAAGATTCTTGATAGACAATACTAAAAAACACATTTATATAACGTGAATTTATTCTATATCTTCCAAGAAAACTTTTTTCGAAAAGAGTTTTATTTAAAAAAATTAACATGGTTGAGGAGACAGTGCATATTAATAGGTAGTATACAACTGGTGAGTGAAAGGTAAATACAATTCTGCATGGAAATATTTTTCTTTGGTCATGCATAAAAATATATCTCATCTATCAATTCCAGTTATAGGAACTAATAAAATAAGTAATAAAAATTATATGATGTTTAATAGCGATAAACTAATATGTGTGGGAGGGCACCTACCATAGATATACTTTAAGTAGTACTTTGGGAAAGAGCTTAATAATTAAAAATGACATTCTTTATATTATTTATATTAAGCGTTTACAATTTTCATTTGAATAATTAAATTGTCCTTATCCTTGTGTGACAAATTGTTATCTCCAATACGAATTTATTTGGATATATTACACTGTCATTGATTATTTACATACACGTATTGCAGTATTTCCATCACTAATATATTTAGCTGTAAAAGAAACCAAAAAACGATTTTAATATTATAAAACACAATATGAAATCTGTAATCTTGTAAATGGTTTAGTGTTTCTTCGAAATTAATGAGTCAGGCATAAATTATTAGATAATGTGTTTTCGTTAAAAAGTTAATGCTTTTGATAGTGTCTGCATTCAAGTAGGTACTTCTCTTGTTTCTACGGAATGTACATGCATTTGTATTTGATAGTACACGAGCGATGTACTTACTGATAATTTTTAAGTAGACTCAAGTAGGTAATCAATTTGCTTATTTTCTGCATTTCGCATTTTATAACACACCCGTTATTTTGAGGATCCACGCGATAATAATACAGCAGCATGGAAAAAATATATTTAATGAAATTAATGGAGTTTCTTTCAGAAAACCATAATATTCTATTATTCTTAGATGTTTTTATTCACTTTTGAAGATATTAAGGTAATTCAAACAAATTCAAAAAATAATTTTTTAAAATCTTATCAAATTAAGTCTTCGACACCAGACGTCTAGATATACAAAAGATATCCAATCTCACAGACAAGATTACTAACTGCTGACATAGCAACAAGAATATACGATGATTGCATTTGAAATGAATAAACCGAATACCAAATCTACAACTCTCAAACAACCCAAAGAAAATGCTGAAGTCTTTAAGTATGTCTCAACTCACGCTTCACGCAATTAGAAAAATTCAGTATTTATTGGTTTTGCTGAAGATATGTAATTAGAATAACATTAAACTAAGGTGTTTGTATTTGGATAAGTGCCATCGATTATAACTTGACACAGTTGCAGAATGTTATTTGTCATCTTAATATTAAAATTTCTAGTTCTTATTACCAGAAGTTTTGTGTTGAAATACACATAACAAACAACGAATTCTAACCAGGTATCACCGATTATTCAATATTTATTTTACCGCAGCTACTTTACACTACTCTTGGTTATACAATTTAATAAAGTTTATCGTTATACAGAAAAATGTTAGTTGGAAAATACTACTTCACTATAACTAAACTTAAGTTTACAACCAATCGCCGCAAGACACATTTCTTGATACGTGCAACGGCATATTTATATCCCAATCGGACTGTTTTTTGGTAAATGATTTTGTATTTTGTATAATAACAATTAAATGAGAAAGGATGTTTACGTGAAATATATGAAATGGCAAGATTTTATCGCATTTAGCAAAGTACTTATACCACCAATTATATTATAATTAATGACAAATAAAAAAACAGATGTTCACAAAAACTAATTAAGGAGTTTTTATCTGTGTAACATTACGCATCGATGACCAGACATTGTGATAAATCTTGAAGAGAAACGGCAACAGTTGACGGGTACGCAAAGTAAACTAAATCTATAATGTTAGGGTCGGGGAAACTATATACAGGGTGTTTATCACTTACTTGTACAAACTTTAAATAATAATTTTAGGATAAAAAGTTCATATGAACATGGGTCGGAAACGGCATGGTTCTTGAGATACAGAGCGTCCAAAAAAAATTTTTCTTTGATATTTTGATTACATTTTTGTTCAATAATATGGAAATTTGGCGAAATTTGAAAAACTGGGAATATTAATGATGAGAAACTCAAATATTTACTTAGTTCTTTGTTTAATGTTAGTGGGCGCCACACATAGTGTTGTACCTGGATTTTGTGTCGCATTGTATGTCATTTTTGACTAAACATACCTATTATCCATTCAATTTTACTTACAGAAGATACTCTATATTTGTCGCTAAAAACGGGTTTAAAGTTAGAGTGAAAAAATGTGTCTGTTATTGATTGTATTGGAATGCGACAAACTTAGTAGTCCAATTAACTAAGCCTTTATATCGAAAAATTGTCAACTTGGCTGAATTTTTGATATGAGTTAGTTTAAGGTATATTATAACAATAAGTGAGAGTAATTTTTTGTTCAACCCCCGGCCAAGGGTGGAAAAAGATAAAACAAAGGGCTTTTTCAAGATAACTCAAAAAGGGTAAGAGCTAGAAAAAAAAGTTTTTCATGAAAGTTGTAAAGCAGACAATTCTACATAAAAATGGTCTCTTAGCTTTTTCTTGTACTATTAAAATTAACAGAGTTAGGGAGGCTAGAAGTTAAGGGAAGATTTCAGAAATTTAATTTTGTTAAATCATTAAAATTAACGATTAAAAATTTGATTTTTTGTTATAACTTTCTTATTAAAAATTAAAAAATATATCTATTTCTCTGAAAAGAAAAGTTACATATTTTAGAGCAGATTGAAAAAAAAAATTACAAAATTCAATCATTTTTCTGTTTGTTATGATTTTTTTTAAATTTCTGAAATCTTCCCTTAACTTCTAGCCTCCCTAACTCTGTTAATTGTAATAGTACAAGAAAAAGTTAAGAGGCCATTTTTATGTAGAATTGTCTGCTTTACAACTTTCATGAAAAACTTTTTTTTCTAGCTCTTACCCTTTTTGAGTTATCTTGAAAAAGCCCTTTGTTTTATCTTTTTCCACCCTTGGCCGGGGGTTGAACAAAAAATTACTCTCACTTATTGTTATAATATACCTTAAACTAACTCATATCAAAAATTCAGCCAAGTTGGCAAAATTTCGATTTAAAGGCTTAGTTAATTGGACTATTAGATCATTTACAAGTCTAAGACTAAACTACTCTTCTACAAATAAGTCATACGAAAATTTCCAAACGGTGTGAGATATTTTTATGAAATTTGGTATTCCGGGGTTCATAAGGATGCCAAATACGCTGGTCTAATTATTTTTCGGATATTTCATAGAGGGCGCTATAAGTTTTGACATAAGCTTACTTATTTTATATACCGTAATATTGTAAGAGTTTAATTAAAAGCCTTTTTTCTCGAAAACTGTCCACATTAGGAAGTTCTAACAACAGTGCATTATCTTTAGAAAATAAAATTGTACACTAGAAATTGGAGCCCGAATGGTAAAAAATCTAACCTTAAAAAAATTAGAACTTAAAATGTAATAGGAATGTAGCATAACTAGCGCCCTCTATGAAATATCCAAAAAATAATTAGACCAGTGTATTTGGCATCTTTAAAAACCCCTGAATACCAAATTTCATAAAAATATTTAGCACCGTTTGGAAATATTCGCAAAATTACTATTTAAAAAATTTTATTTTGTCGCTCTGTATCTCAAAAACAAGAGGAGATAATAGACATATAGTTCATAAGACAAAAAATAATTATTTTTTGCCGTACTATCACCCCCTGTATTTACCGGAAGTCTTTCTGAAACAGCCTGAATAATAATAATAATAATAATAATAATAATAATAATAATAATAATAATAATAATAATAATAATAATAATAATAATAATAATAATAATAATAATAATAATAATAATAATAATAATAATAATAATAATAATAATAATAATAATAATAATAATAATAATAATAATAATAATAATAATAATAATAATAATAATAATAATAATAATAATAATAATAATAATAATAATAATAATAATAATAATAATAATAATAATAATAATAATAATAATAATAATAATAATAATAATAATAATAATAATAATAATAATAATAATAATAATAATAATAATAATAATAATAATAATAATAATAATAATAATAATAATAATAATAATAATAATAATAATAATAATAATAATAATAATAATAATAATAATAATAATAATAATAATAATAATAATAATAATAATAATAATAATAATAATAATAATAATAATAATAATAATAATAATAATAATAATAATAATAATAATAATAATAATAATAATAATAATAATAATAATAATAATAATAATAATAATAATAATAATAATAATAATAATAATAATAATAATAATAATAATAATAATAATAATAATAATAGTAATAATAATAATAATAATAATAATAATAATAATAATAATAGTAAACGTATTTATTAATAATAATTTAGTACGGCATCAGTATAACTCTAAAAATTATAAACTTTAATTGCATTTTTATTTTCAGATTTAAAACACAACGGAGATTCACAAAGATGTTCACAAAGTGATTCAGCATACTCCAAAATACAGTATACAAAAGATGACGGCAGGTTAGCATATTTATTAAATGTATGTACAGGCTCCTAATAAGGGGAAGATTCCAAAATAATAAGTTAAGCCTATCTGAAATTAACTCTATGGTACATACAGGGTAGGAAAGTACCGATGGTCTATCTGAAGTTACTGAGAGCGGTAAAGTAAGCCATAGAAATCCATGCGATAGAGGAGGATGGCTATAATGAAGGCGGCTCATAGTCACCGCCCGTTTCGCCCTTCCACAAACAAGATCCACTTCTTATACTATACCCATTCTTGTCTATCACATGGATTTCTATGGCTTACTTTATCGCTCTCACGTAACTTCAGATAGACCATCGGTACTTTCCTACCCTGCAGATAGACATCTGGTTTAACCAAAATTTTTAGTTTATATTCAATATTATAAGAACCTGTTAAGGCTTTCGATAAATTAACAGGTGATTAGATTGTTATACAGTCTATTAACTGATTAGTTAACATAGTCTTAATCATTCTTCAAAGTACTACCCCCTGAAACAGAAACACATTCACATGGTGAGAAAAATGTGGTCCTATGATTTTGTATGCATGTTTTGATCCATACAATTAAATGACTTTATAATACTGTCTGCAAGTAAATCCTCCATTTTATCCAACCTCTACATACACGAGTTTGACCAATATGAAAGGCGTGATTCAATAGCTATAGATCTCCTACAGATCTAAAAATATATACAAAATCATACTCACATGTTCTTGTGCCTCTTGAGCAGAGGTGATAGTACAGACAACAGTGTGTTCTCAAACCATAATAAACACATAGAGAAAAATATTATTAACGATAAAAGTATTATCAGTATTTTATTTTCAAACCTGTTAGATCCTGGTTGTACTTGTTCTGCATGAAATGCCGATCTCGCGACGAAGAAAAGGAACCATGGCAACCGTCATTTTGGCCTAAGTTGTGCCCTCATCCGTACTTTCCTTCTTACCGTCAGTTCACAAGGATATTATCCCTGAGCCTCATAGGAATCTACTCCTGGTGTATAATGTATGCTATAATCGGTGACGCAGCGGCACCGCCACATGGAAAGCTGTACCAACTGATCCTGCTCAGTATAAGTTCTCATATTGGAGGATGGTTGATGAGTCTGACTACTCTACCGGCTTTAATAGGGATGATCTTTACTGGACTGATCTTTCAGAACCTCAACGTTGTGGATATTGATGATTCCTTTACGCCTATCACAAAGCAAGTAAGGTAAGGTGGTACCTATTCAATTTGTAACTAATTTTAAAGAACATTCTGTAAACCTATTTAGCAAATAATCAACTCAAATACATTTAGATTCATTTAAATATAAGTATTTCTCTGCAAATTTGAAGAAAAAGATGGGAGCCTTATATTCTAGGTAACGCAGGTCTTGGGGAAAAAATATAATTTAACTTAGTAGTAATTGATTTTTTGTATCTAGCTGAATAAATTGTCTGTCAACCGCATTGATAAGTTACACTTTTATAATGCTACCATAATTTGTGCTCATGTACCATCTTAGTCCCGTCAATTTTGTCTTTGTTCGGATTCAGAAGCAGACAGAATCAAATCTCAAAGTTAATGTTTGTTAAATTACAAATTGGTATACATATTGGCCTTCAAAAAGTCCGGTTCACACCCACGTACATATGAAGTAGCATCTGTGTTATTGCCTTTGTCTCTACAGCAACGTTGAAACATTGTGGGATCAACAATAAATTACAGCCATTTATAAAGTAACTTTACTAGGAATATGAGGAGGAGGACCACCAATTTGCAATTCGTGTCATAAGTATGCCAAGTACCTACGTAACTATCACACTCAGATGATTCTTACAATATCCAAAATATATTTTGCATAATTTGTATGTATATATTTTACAAGGAATGCATAAGATTTCGGAGAAGATTAAAAGCATTTAAAAGTGCCTTGAAAAGATTAATGAATGAAGTTCACGTTGAACAATTTGAGAAATATGATGCAATACCAATTTATGACATATAAGGCTTCCCATTTTTTGAAAACATTATTGCAGAAGACAAGTGAAGATTAGTCCTGTCCGAATCTTGTTAGTATAGCTCTTTTGAATAGATACATTGTCTATCTTGATGATGTGTGTCAGTTCATTCGATACTGTATATCTTTAAACCAATATAATATAGGGGAGACCGGGGAGGGTTGATTCACGTAACATATTAAAGGTTACAGGCATATTAATATCATCTTTAGAAAAGGTCTGATACATCTGTGCGAAACCTTATGGTCTTGGTTATAACTTCTACACCAACATTTTGAGTAGCGGATACAACTTTCCCCATAAGACACATTTTTTTTAAAAGTAGAAAATGTATCATCTCTCCCTTGCTATGGGAGAGATGATACGAATACCAGAAGACTTGATACACACAATTTTAGGAGCAAGAAAAATTCAGATTTTTTTTTAAAAATAAGGGAAAATCGGAATTTTAAACATTTATTTATAAAGATAATAACTCACCCTTTAAATGTAATTGTACTAATATTACTATATATATTACATAACATTACTATATTTATTAAAGTTTACTGAAAATGATAATTTTCGATGCATTCTGGCGGTTCCTTCTGAGAAAACAGGAGGAGGTAATCTAATAATATCTGAAATGGGCACAATAGACTTGTCTGCAACATCAGGATATACGAAAGAGTATCCCGGCTTCTTCCGTCTCATGAAACTAACGTAGAATTGTTCTTCTTCCATTATTTCTTCAACCAACCCCACGTAATGACGTTCATATCTGCCTACCTTAAACTTAACTAGCACGTAATCATATTTCTTGATAAGACCTTGAGAAAAATTATTTTCTTCTTCTTGTTCCATAATTAAGTCCTCAATATCTGTCACCTCTGAACTTGAAGAAGTTTGAATCAATTCATCTTCACTGGTATCCGAGGATTCACATTTCTCATAACTTTTTCGCTGCTTTACTTGTTTTAATTTTGTAGGTGGTGCATTTTCTTTACCAAATGATATTGCCTTTTTTACAGACTGTCGATTTCCAAGTTGTTTGGCTGCCACTTCGTCTTCTATTTCTTTTATATTAGGAGTATCGGTAAGTATTTTTGATTTTTTCGTACATCGTGGTTTTACTGATTTTCTCGGAGGCGCTTTTGGCAAAGGTCTTATTTCTTCCGGGCTCTTTAAATTTAGGCCTGATGGACCAGCGCTGCTGTTAGTTGTGGATTCTGTTGCTCTGCATTCCTCAGAAGATTGTCCAGTGATGTGAAGTTCGTTATTGCCAGGAGGAGTTCGCTCAAGGCGTTGTTGATATGCAGTTGGAGCAGGTTCCTCATTTATCATTTCTGGGCGATTAGTCACCTCCGAGCATAAAAATTCGTCATCTCCAAATATTTGTGGATTAAAAGGTTGTAATCCACTTTTTTCAAACCCATTTTTTATGTTAGTAGGAGTGAACGCACGATCAAAAGCTATACCCACCAGTTCTGCTATATTTTTTAAGGTTATTGTCTCACCTGGATGATTTACTAAGTAATTGTCACATGCAGTGTTAAAATATGTTTTGAACGGTCCATAAGTAGATACATCCAGGGGCTGCAATTTATGACTGGTGTGAGGCGGCATGCTTAATAAAACTATCCCATTGTTTTTACAGAAATTTAGGCCTTGTGGAGGAATGTGGCTACTATGGTTGTCCAAGATAAGTAAAACTTTGTTGTCTTTCGTGCATTTCACAAATTTTACAAAGTGTTCCAAAAACACTACAAAATTTTCCACAGTCATCCATCCACTCGGGTGAGTCACTGCAACTGATCCTACAGGAGCCCCATAGGTCATATAATCCTGTTTCTTAACGCGGGAAAATATAAAGAATGGGGGAATATAATTTCCTGCAGCATTAACAGCACAGCATACTGTTACCGTTTGACCACGTTCTGCAGACGTTGCTTTGGAAACTTGCTTTAGCCCTCTTTGAGAAATGATACTTCCTGGCTTATGAGCAGTTTGAACTCAAGTTTCATCGCAGTTATAGACAGAAGCTGGCTCAAACTGTTCTCGTTCGAGGACTTCTTTTAACAAATCAAAAAACTGTGAAACTGTATGCCTATTAAAAGCGGTTGCTCGACTTAGACTTGTTGGTTCAGGGCGTCTTATAGATAAATTACTATTTCTTTGCATGAATCCTCTAAACCAGTCGTAAGACCCTTCTTCACTATTTCTCCATGACTGAGGAATTTTTTTGTTGTTTTCAGTAGCATAAAGAAAAGCCAATTTTCTACATTCTTTTGGCGTCAGCCCGTAGTTCATTTTCGCTGCAGTAAGCAAATACTGAGCTAACTGTTGTTCTTCTATGTCAGTAAATATTTGAGAATGCTTGAAATTTGGAACAAATGTGGTTCGCAAGCCATGTTCCCTATATTTGGCTGCATATCGTCTTAAAGTCATCTTATCGATTCCATATTTATTGGCGGTTGTTCTAATCTTGCAACCCAAATCGATAACTTCTTTCGCATCCTTTTTCATAATATCTTCTGACACTGGTACCCGATTAGTTTTCTTGTTGTATTTAAAAGGCATTTTAACTAAAAATAAAAAATGTACCTGCTAAGAAACTTCATACTGGGGAGATTTGAGACGTATCAAGTCTCCCTAAGTAATACCAGTATCATATGTCCCAGAGGGTACTACAACAATAAATAATCAATTTATTTTCACTTGAGCAAACATTAAGATATTGTTTGTATATGAGAGCACAGCTATACATACCAGCTAACAGCGACCGCTTACAAAACACTACATCTATTTGTTCTTTGATACAAATTTGCTTGCAACTGTTCTCACAATTCCAACAAAATGTATGCACTTGAACATGCCAGCCTTGTCTTTACTATACTAATGGCCCAATGACTACTAGCCTTGAATAAGGTACACTGCTGTCACCTATCTTTATTCCTATTGGTTTGCAGACATATTCTATCACGACGTGGCGGGTATTTTAAAAATGTATCAAGTCTCCTGCTGTATCAACTGTCCCTAGTCTCCCCTAAATAATATCCTTTTTAGTCACATGGCTTTGGTAATCATCTTGTTGCGTGCTGGCCTTGATTTGGATCCATCAGCTCTAAAGAGATTAAAATTCACTGTGTTGAGACTGTCTTTGGTACCATGGTGTATCGAAGCAGGCGCAGCTGCTATTTTGTCCAGATACGTCTTAGACATCTCTTGGAAATTTGCGGCACTCCTAGGTATGTTTAATAAAACAAAACATAATCCTCTTTTAATATAAATCAACTTTGCAGGAGTTATCATAGCAGCCGTGGCTCCTGCGGTGATAGTACCGTGTCTTTTCCGACTTCGAGCGAAAAGCTATGGTGTGGCAAAAGGAATACCAACCCTCATAATAGCAGTGGCTAGTATCGGCGATTCTACGTCAGTGGCGGTTTTCGGCATAATGAAGAGCATTATGTTTTCGGAACCCTCAGTCACGAGCGTTCTTCTTCAGGGACCAGTGTCGATATTAGGAGGTAAATTAATAAAATACAGCTAAAACTACATCAACTTTAAAACTACAATTTTGCACAATAATGGAAATACTTCGAATAGTTTGCTATGTTTTTAATTTGAATTTATTATTATATGTAGATACATTCCTTCTAGCGCAAAACAAAATTCGATCAATCATTTCAATCATTAGAGATATATGTTAAGTGTTATACCACTTAGATATTAAGTAAACAAAAATTTTGACTTTTACAATAATGACTGACGCAATCAATAAAATTTGTCAGTCTTACAAAAAATAGTAAACAATAACATATTTTGTCTTTCAACGCAATAAATTCGTATTGTATTGTATCATTATCTAGGAAACACATCTGTTCACTGTTAAAGCAAAATTTATTGAAAGTTCATCCACAAACTGATGGACACATAAACCAAGTGTGCCATGTAGTAAAAAATAAGACGTACACATTTTCTATCAGAATGGATTGTAAAAAACTGACAAAGTAGCATATCACAGCTATTTCCCACATGAATAAATTCTTCAGTTGTTGTTGCTTCACAATATTGAAGAAAAATGTCTTTTAAAGACAAAACGGATTCCGCAAGCTTCGTTCCTTAGTTTACATCGAAACAACTGAATTAAATGTAGAACAAACGGTAATTGTGGTAAATAACAGGCCCGTTGATTCTGGGTTTCTTTTTTTTAATGAATGTACAACTTTACTAACTCTCAAAGCATTCAAGTTGTATAGGACGTAATCACCAAAATGGTTAGTGGTTCTATAATTACAACAACTATTTAATTTTTAACATCGGAATTTCTTCCGATCTTGCAGAATATTTGTTTTTTTATTGTTATACAAGTTGTTAACGAAATAAGTACTCAAGACGGAAGACCCACGGTTGGCCGCTAGATGGTCCCAAAATTCGTGAAAAATTTTTGAATTTTGTAAATAACTCGAATACGTATTATTCGATTTGGATTATTTTTGGGGTGTGGACTTGCTTTCAATCTACACATTTGGCGTTATACAGAGTGTTTTTTAAAACTTACAACTCCTACAAAATTGATGTACATATGGTGATAATATCCGTTCATAACTTTTTCCTTTTTCTGGCAATAATGACAAATAATGACTGTTGAGAATTTGAAGAGTGTACATAGAAATAAAATAATAAAAAAGAACGTTGGAAACGTAAAAAAAGATTGAGTTGTTTGTTTTGAGACTTCGTATGTCTGTCTTGTCATTAGTTATATAAAAAGTCATTTTTCTGTAAAAAAGTAATTTTTCTGTAAAACCCTTTAATTAAATAATAAAAACTCGTTATTGTAAATTGAAGAAATCGCATTTTCCCATACAAAATACAGTCCACAAACCTTATATGTTTTTATAAAACCATGACAATTTTTTGTTCGATAGGTGATACCATTTGAGCCTCTTGTAGAATTTTGACTAAATAAGCGGTTTGGGTAAAAAAATGTTTTTTAAATGTATTCATTATCTTCCCACCCATACTTACAATACTTAACAAAGTGTTCTGAGGCCATCTAGCGGCCAAACGAAGCGATTTCGGATATAGGTGAATTAGCCTAAATCTGTCTATTTTGAGTCCGTGGTCTTCCGTTGTAAACGTTATTCTGGCAAAATCTACAATTCTTCACTGCTAAAAAGTTTAAGAAAAAAATTATTTTGAATGTTATGAATATTGTGGGCATGTGTTTGCATTATTTGCTTTGACATTAGGTTAAGTAGGTAGATCTTTAGGTGCGTTAACAAAAATCTCATTGACCACTGAGGTTACCATTACAGGATTTTCATATAATTCACCTACACATTTTAATGCAATGCCATTTATATACAGGGTGTTTCAATTAAAACTTCCCACCTAGAAAATATCGGAATTAAAAAAAAACAAAAAAAAAAAAACTGATATACATCGATTTTCTCTTCAAGGGCGTAAGTTTTGGTGTCTTGTAATCTACCCCTTAGGCAAGGGCGCAAAATACCCAAAAAATTTTAAATGGCACCCTATGTTGAGTGACACCTCACTTTAGAGCTTTTTCAATTCTCCTCACGACGACATACGCCTTATTATGTTTTGGTTTGGATGTGACTTTGAACAATCCGCGCGTTTTCTTTGCTTTATTATATGATAAATACAATTATGGATACACCATTTTTAATGCGTATAATTATCTGAGATTAAAGTTTGACATCTCAGTTTGATCATTAACGCATCCCTTTTTACAATCCTCATATTTATGCAATTATCAAGGATACTTATAGTTAATTATAAACATTATTAAAACATTATAAATCAAAGATCTATTTAAGGACATCATATTAATTTGTAGATGATAACAATGAATAAACACTATTGATTTTCACTGAAATTTCTTCCACCCATCCCTTCTTTGCCTTCGATTGTACTTCTAAAAAGACAGTTCTATGATCAAAAATAATATTATCTTCCACCCATACAAAACTACTACTATTCATTGGTAAAAAAATTGATTAATAATTGCAGAAGTAGTTATTGGGTTAGTCAAGTCACCAGCGGTTTGAAATTTAAACTGAATAGAATGTTATATAACTTAATAAAATCATCATAATTTTTAGAACCTAACAATAGCATCCAAATTAAAATCACTGTTCATAATAATTACATTTACGTTGGGATTAATCAACATCTAAGACATCATAGTTTTTTTAAAGGTACCTTTAGTGGTTAACAAGTAATAACTATTGTAACAAGACTATGACGTAGAATAGTAAATTTTAAACATAAAATTTTAGGAATAGGATTTGGCGTCCTGTGGGGATTGGTATGCAGCTACGCCCCAGAAAGAAACGACCCATTCGTGGCACCGTTACGAATTCTACTGTTGCTAGCTGGAGGCATGGCCGCAGTTTTCGGAAGCGAACTCTTAGGTTACGGGGGAGCAGGGCCTCTAGGATGTGTCGCCTCAGCATTCGTAGCTCTGTGCTTTTGGACTAAGCAAGGATGGGACGTGGAAGACAATCCTGCAGCTACCAGCTTCGAGATTTTCTGGATGATCTTCCAACCGATCCTGTTCGGAGTGACAGGGGCTAGAGTCCGTATCAATGAGTTGGAAGGGAGTGTGGTATGTTTAGCCGTTGCTGTGCTGGTTGCTGGGGTTGTCATTAGGATCCTGGGAACCGTTTTGATCAGTACTGGGTGTGGACTGAATCTGAAAGAGAAAGTTTTCGTGTCCATTTGCTGGATGTGCAAAGCTATGGTGCAGGTAAGGCATTAAGTCAACCCACCTCAGTGGAATAAGTAAACATAGAGGACACATTAAGGATTTGTTGACGCAACCGGTACGTTTTTGTTTACAAATTGTAATATTAACGCGATTGACGTATTTCATAATACTCATTCATAATCAAATGTTAAGCAAAAGAGTTTTGTAATTAAATGGTGATTCTTAATGTTATTTACCATAGACATTTTACATTTTAATTGAGATTCAATTATAATATTGTTGTCATCGTTATTTTGAATTTATATGCTCTAAGAAATCGGCAGAATAAGTTCTTTTTTTTACGGGCTGGCAACAGTGTTGGTTAGTTGTATGTTTACATACATAGAGCCGCAGAGGTGCATATTTATTTCGTGTTTAAAAGCGATATTTTGAGAATCTGTGCGTTGGCCTGTTATATTACTTAATTATAGACAATTCTAGTGTAAGAGACAATGGTTAAAAATAGAAGAACGTGTTCGTTTTGCAAATAGTGTGGAGACGTCCATCTAACCTATCATCGGTAAGTGTTTTAGAATGTTTTCTGACCATTGGCGTAAAATAGCGAAACTCCACTAAAACAAATGTGATATTAATATGTAATGTTTTTGTAGGTTTCCATCGAATGTAGAAAAGTTGAAAATATGGTGTGATGCACTAGGACGTGTTTGGAAAAATTTGAGATATTCATTCATTTCAGGAAACGAAAAAGCTAATGTAGCTCTTGATAGCACAGCTATTTTACATTGTTCAGGTGTCTTACAAAAAGTTGAGATTAATACTACGATGCATGAGTTACATAACAGTAATTTGTATTGCACAAAAGCGAGTACATGGAACTTAACATTGTATTGCCAAGATGTAATAGCATATGCTGCCGGTTTTGTAGCTAGGCAGTTAAAAAAAATTGTAAACTGCAGTTCCTGTTTGGAGATTATTGAAAGTGATGAGATAATTTCAAAGTTGCAAATAAGAAAAACAGATGGATGCTTAACTCTCACTTTGTTATCGAATTTTGTAAACATGCAGAGAAATATTTTTGGAGTTACTTACATTTCTTTAATGTAAAGGGAAAAAAGTTGACTTTGTTTTAAAATACATAAAAATTAAAGCTGCAACAAAGACATTTAGTAGAATATTTTTTAACTAATCATTTTAATATCATGATCGATCTCATTTTTGATTTTCTTTTAAAACTGCATCATGAAATTTCACAATATAAACCAAGAAGAATATTACTAATTTATTTATTTATTTATTTATTTATTTATTTATTTATTTATTTATTTAGTTTTATTGCCCAACAGATTACTCCAATTACAGGACAATATTACTACACTAAAGTATATAAATAACAAAGATAGATAAGTATACAACACAAGACATAATTAAATGTACATACAAGAATATAACATCAGGTTATAATACAAAAAATAAAAGCAATTAGTATACTACTGATGTAAAACCCTTACGGCTACTGCAAATCTATCCAATATGACATTTAACCCATCAAAATTAATATCACATGTACCAGAAATCATATTAAAATTATGCAACATATTATAAAAAGGCGATTTAATCAATAAGTCTGAATTAGCTTGTGGCAAGAGAAAAGTAGAGGGCTGGCGAGTTATAACAGGTGTACAATGATATAATAATTTCTGCAATAAATCTGGTGAGTCAATTCCATTGTGTGTCAGCAAATAGAGGATTTTCAGACTTTGCTGCATTCTGCGAAGTTCAAGAGAAGGTATATTAAATTCATTTCTAAGCAGCTTGTGATCATAGCCCCTTTCAGGATAAATACCATACGTTTTAAAATGGAGAAATTTTAAAAAAATAATACATAAAATAGTATCATGTACAAGTTAATAAATTGAAAATTAATCATAATAATGCAAAATATTTTGTTCCTTCTATTGAAGTAAATATATCAACTTGTTTAAAGAATAGTACCCAAGTTTTATTTAATTTATATTCGATACCCTCTGTACGTATTTGGGCACGCCACTGAAGTTTACTGCACCTCTAGCAGCCATTTTTGTTTTTCCTACTCACTCTATTATCTATCTGTTGCTATTGACTACAAATGAATGTTATTTAGTGCTTAGGGCCTCTCTATGTTTACTTATTTCTCTGAGCAACCCACGCTTGGGAAATTTTTTAAGAATTATATCATGTTAAAAAGTTTCCGATATACTTCCTGAGTACATTTCTGGTTAACCTTTAAGATAAACATATAGAAGGAAAGATTTGAAAGTGTCAATATGAGTATACTGACAGTGTGTTACTTAAGATGATCTTTAATAATTTTATCAAATTTGCAGTACATTGTTTAAATATTTTTTCAAGGAATTTGGATCTATTTAGTGTATTATTTGCCCATTTTGCAAAATTAACACTTATTACGTCAAAGCATAATTTTCTTTGGAGATTATATTGTCATTGATCTAAATGATCAGGCTCTTCTGTCAAATATTTTATTTAATGCAGGTGAAGATGAAATTATCTCAGTTATCGACCAAATCTGATTTGATAATCATCTGTTAATAGTACACTTTTGAAAACATTATGTCATCAATTTTTCTATTTATTTCGGATTATGATTTACAACTTCATCTGAGTAAACTATTTATTTTAAAATAATGTAATAGATATACAAAATTTTTCCATACACCCTTTTTTGGGTAGGAGTGGTCTGCTTTGTAAAATTTCTATATTTATCTTGATTTAAGAGCAATAAAATGAATAAAAACGTCCAACTACATATTTACGAAGACTCTCTAGGGTTTCTATCGAAAGTAATAAGTTCTGTATAAGATTGTACGGACATAGTAAACAGAGTAAACTTAATTGATACATGATTTACACATGATGTCAATCAGAATTACATAACACTAAAGGCATCGTTTTTGGAAATCATTGAAAATCTTTCTCAAATAAAATTCAAAATTAATACATTCGCTAATTTGTTGGTAAAATACAAGATTGATATATCCTGATTCTTGCTTAAATTGGTCTCCGTGGAAGAGGTTCATGATGTCTTATTTAGTTTGAATTTTTATGCATACGGAATAGAGAATATCAACGCAAAAATGCTACAAATATGTTCGCCCACGCTAGACTATCTCTTTACCCACATTCTGAATTGTTGCCTGGAATTAGGTGACTTTCCCCATCAGTGGAAAACCTCAATAGTTAAACCTCTTCCTAAAGTAAAAAGTCCTTTATTTTATAGCAATCTTCGTCCCATAAGTTTGAATCCGGCATTATCAAAGATGCTAGAAAAGATAATAGATAGAATAATATTTTGCCATCGCAACAATTTGGGTTTAGAAAGGGGTATAATACAACCACCGTATTAGCAAATGTCACTAATGACATTTTACGAAACTTAGATCAAGGTAATACAACCTGTCTGGTTTTATTATGAGTTCTCTAAAGCCTTTGAAACTCTTGATCAGGCTTTACTTTGTGAAAAGTTATTTTATTATGGGCTTGATACAACATCTCTGAATTTCTTTAAGGCATTTAGTAACCGTCAGCAAATAGTTATGTTAAATGATAAATCTTCACAGGCTGGTATTGTTTCTTCGGGGGTTCCTCAAGGATCAGTCCTGGGCCCCTCTTGTTTGTCATTTACACGGCTGACATTTTGAGACGGTAGATTTCTCTAACGTCATAGCCTATGCTGACGATACACAGTTGTCTTTGTCCTTCAATAGTGACATTATTACAGCTAACAATAATATTAACTCAGATAAGATCTTCAATCTATTTTGCATTATTCTGAACGTAATAATTTAAAACTTAATTCTAGTAAATGTAATGTTATTTTCTTCACACCAGCACACATGCACAAATAAAAATGCAGAGAGAATTAAAATTGCACATTAATAATAATCAGACCTTAAATTCTTTAGATGTAGTAAAAAATCTAGAGCTCGTCCTAGATTCTAAGCTTCGGTTTCGAGAACAAGTCTCTATTTTGATAAATAAATGGTATATTGCTTTGAGGTTGCTTTATCAAAATATAAGTATATTCAATTTTAAATTAAGAAAAAAAATTGGTTCAATCACTTGTGTTGTCTATTTTAAATTACTGCAATTTTGTATATTTTCCTTGTTTAGACAAAATTACTCAGGATCGCCTTCAGAAAATGCAAAAGAGCTGTTGTAGATTTGTTTTTCGCTTAAATAAATATGATAGAGTTTCTGAAAAGACTAGATAGTTGGGTTGGTTGAATATCAGTGATACTTTCACATTTCATTTTAGTGGTTTTGTAAATCAAATTTTCACACATCTTCCCCACCATATCTGAATGATACGCCGTGATGAAATTCATAATGTCAATATAAGGTTTCCATCCAAACTTTCTCTACCTAAATTTCGTTCAGCCATGTTTATACGCTCTTTTACATTTAATGCTTGTACTATTTATAACTCTATTAATAGTAATTGAAACAAAATTATGTCGCTGACTATCGCAAAAAAATAAAATCTCATATCTGTAATCTTCCGTCTTAACTTATTATGTTTTTGATCTTTGTTATATATATTAACATAATTTATTTTTTTACTTTTTCATCGCTCTAAATGAATCGCATGTATCATGTTTCTCTTTTTTCATTTTTAGCTTTTGACGTTCATTGTATTTATTTCTATATTCCTTTTTTTTCTTTTTTCTTTTTTGTATTTTTCTTTTGTATTTGTGTTTTATAGTATGTTTATAAAGGTTAAGCAAGTAGCGTAAGCCAAACTTCGCCCTTGCCTAATTATTGTAATTTTTTTTTATACATTACCCAATAAGGACATTATTATTNAACACTTCCCGTATCTCGCAGCCGCTGAACGCACTGTAGGATTGTATTTGCACATGAGGGTGACGTTGTGGCCATCGTTCCTGGTACAACCTAGTCGCCGCGAGCGCATTTTCGCCGGCTGCACCATACACTAACACCATATCGACACGTTGGGAAATAGTAAATGCATTGTTTTTTCGATTCATTGTAAAACAAGTTTGTGCACAAACTAAAAAATTAAGCAAAGTAAGAAAT